ATTAAAAAAGATAAGTTGTCAATTCAATTTGGCTACACAAAAATAGTAGAAAACAGTACAATAATTATTTGAAAATACAAATAATTAAAATGTTGAAAGCCTTTCTTTTGGAAATGTAATTGTAGCTCTTATTATTGCGTAGCGGTAGGATCAAGCACTTAACAGAACACCAAAAGCTATAGTTAGTAGCGAAGACGTAACTTTATGTATTTATTTTTTAAATACTTGAGTAACAGTCAGCGCCTCATTCGATGGTTGGATCCCGGACTTGCCCCTTCAAGCCGCCACCCAATATTTCATTTATATCACATTTATTATGAGTTGTTATTTATTCTTGATGGCTTTTTTAAAAAGATAGTTTAAACTCGATCATAATACTAAATATTAATTTGAACTGTAACTATAAAATAATTATAATAAATATTTTATGCTAATACTTGAAATGAGTTAAGACATTAGAAATGCCCATCAATTCTTACTTTATTTTCACTAACTTAAAGTTAAAAATTTGAAAAAAAAAAAGACAAGATACAGTTAAACCGGAAACCAATTAATTAAACATTCTCTCATAGCCAGTAGATGAGGGTACGGTGCCTAACATAAACTCAAAGATAAACAAACATGCTGTACGTAATTGAACTTTTAACAGTATTAGTTTTACCATTATTGGTTACCATCCAAAATCTGTCTATAAATTCGCCGAATCACTAAGCCAAAGATGCATCACAGCCCCAAGTTTCCTCTAAGCATAAACAACTGGATGTCCATATATATATGTGGGGCCATGAGAGATCATTATATTATCAGATCAGATCAATTGCATTAATGCTAACAAAAATGAAGGCCTTCAACCTCATGACACTAGCAGTTGTATTGCTTCTCTTGGGAGAAGCACAATTTTCGTTGGCTATATGCGACGTGAAGCAGCTCAACCCTTGCTTTAGCGCCTTAACGTTAAGTGCCAAACCATCGCCACTCTGCTGCCAGAGGCTTAATCAACAAAAGCCTTGCTTCTGCAAATACGCCAAGAAAGATCCCCGTCTGAATGACTACCTCATTAAATCCCCAGCTGCCAAGAAAGCCAATGAACTCTGCAAGGTTACAATTCCCAAGTGCTGAGAAAACCACCCATCCATTCCGCTTCATCTATCCTAAAGTATTCCATCCATCTATGTGTGCACTTTGTTATTACTAACAATGAACACCTTTATTTCTCTTTCTCTTTCTCTTTTGATTTTTGTTTTTCCTATGTCTTGACTATTAAAATCATAGCCTGCTTGGTTATGATCTTTGTAATAGCTACATGTCATCATTTCTATATATGAAAGACAGCAGTAGCCTTCCCTAAAAAATAGGGTCCTGTCTAATTGTTAAATTTAGACTATTTTTTTAATTTAAATTATTATATATGTACAAATATAAAATAAAAATGTAATAGAAACCATTTGTCAAAATATGCTGCATACTTAGTAACACATCAAAATTCAAAATAAAGGTGTTTTGGGACAAGCTACTTGAGTTATCACTCGTAACTGAAGAAATTATAGAGAACAAACTTAGGATGTGTTTGGTTCGCACATCGGAATCGGAATGGGTATCAAATACTTGGTAATAGTAATGGGTTTTGGTGAAAGTATTTAACATGTTTGGTAGTAGGGTGAAATGGGAATGGTTACTAATAGCAGTGGTTAAGAATGAATAAGGGAATGAAACCCTTATTGTATTTGGGTATGGGTTTTTCAATTTATGGGGTATTCGAAATCCATAGTAGTGTTCTAAAAACCTATTAACCAAACAACAACAATCACTTTCATACCCATTCCTATGGGCAAAACCCACCAACCAAACACACCCTTAGTGTTATCATACCAAGACTATGTGGTCTAATGGTACCCGGGTTGAACTTCCATTTGGAAGGTTGTGAGTTCGAGTCTTAGTGGAGGCGTTAGCGTTATTGGCTCTTTGTGTTTCAGTAGGTTGAGAAAGTATATGCACATATACTTCATTGTAATAGAGTCAGTAGCATTCCAAAAAAAAACTTAAGGAAAAAGTGATCGATACGCCAAAAAATATTCAAAATATTAGTGTAGAATGTTAAATAACAAAAATGATGATAGTCTATGATTAAATTTGAAATTGATAACAAGGGAGCTCAACTGGAATTAACATCAAAATTAAAATTAAACCGATGTTTGAATTTTAAAAAGGGAAAATTGCGAGTTTGGTCCCTAAGTTATAATGGTAGTGACGACTCAGTCCCTGAGTTATGACCGTATCCATTTTTAGTCCCTCAGTTATGAACGAAGTGGCGCATTTGGTCCCCGAACGTTAAAACCAGAGTAATGAATGAGGAACCTAAGACTTAGTTATGAAAATTTAAAAAACTTTTGTAACGTCTAAAAACGATTATTCACTAAACTACTGCGTATGAAAAAAATTTACATACTAAAAATCTCAAGTTATTCCGTTGGTGAATTTCTCATAAAAGCAACTTGAGAAATTTGACATCATTTTGTATCTCAAAAGTTCTGGTTTGATTACCTTTGTTGCTTATTAAAGAAAATTGAAAATTGATAGGATAGTGTGTTTTACACGTCTGAAGACAAATGTTTCTTTGATTGTGCTAAGTCTTAAGTTTGTTATACGAGAGTCAGGTTCCTAACAAGTCATACTAAATTTATTGAAATGTTTATAGAATTGAACAATCTTGAAATAAGAGGCTAAAAAGTGAAAAATAATGTTGTGAAAGTTGTTTTGATATAAGGAGAATACAATGTGAATTTTCTACTTTACCCCTCAAATTTTAAATATTTTTATATTTTTTTGTTAATTTTAACGGTCGGGGACTAAATGCGCCACTTTGTTCATAACTGAGTGACTAAAAATGCATACGGTCATAACTCAGGGACGGAATCGGAACTTGGGTATAACTCAAGGACAAAAGATGCATTTTTCCCTTTTAAAAACATTATTATAAAGTATAAAAGTAATGGATTATCTATAAAATACTTTTTTTAAAAAATTGGGCCCTAAAACTTAGACTCACATGTTTGGAGGCGAATTCGGCATGCCTCAAACGTTGGGAATTTATATCCTACACCGTGGCGCGCGTTGCACTATGCGCCCAGATGCAAAACGACGTCGTTTTAATTTTTTTTTTTTGAAATTTCCCGCCCAGTGAATGGCAGTAATTTTTTCTTTTAAAAAAACCCGCTGTTCAAAAATGTACATAATGTTATACTAGAATACACATAATTGTATACATGAATGTACATAATTATATAACAAAATATACATACTCTTTTTAAAAGATAATACACATAATCTAACATAATACATAATAAACATAAACTTTTAACATAATACACATCAACTATTAACATAATACACACAAATTTTCTGATTCGGATGTACATAATTGTATAAAAAGAATGTACATAATTGTATAAAAAATGTACATACCTGTATGAACCAATACACATAACTGTATGAACAAATACACAATAACTGTGTGAACAAATACACATAATTCCAGCAACTTCCTACCGCGCCTCCCAAAACAACCCCAAAACGACGTCGTTTTGGGAGGCGCGCGGCGCACAGTGCTATGTGCGCCGTGGTGTAGGGTATAACGATTGTCAAACGTTTCCCTGGGATTGGCTTTGGGCCCTTCCTGCGCAGCTTAGGTGGAAGGCGAAGAAGGCCCTCTTCCGAGGGGCCCGAGTCATCAGTGAGATACCACTCTGGAAGGGTTAGAATTTCCCGTTGTTCCGCACCCTTATGCAAAAAGCAACTCTGCTATTCAGTTTCATTTTGTATACACTGCAGTTTCAGTTCAACACAACTACAATTTCATTTCGATATAACTACAGTTTCATTCGATATTTATAGACTCAAATATGTGAGAATGTTATTTAATTTTATTTTGTATACACTATAGTTTTATTAAACACAGCTACATGATCATTTTGATATAATTACAGCTTCATTGTACAATATAAACTCAAATATGTGAAATGTTATTCAGTTTCATTTTATATATACTACAGTTTCATTTCACCACAACTATAGTATCATTTTGATATAACTGCAGTTTCATTTGATATTATAAAAATAATACGTGAGGCTGTGTCGGTTTAGATATACTGTAGTATCAATTGGTAATCAAAATACAAAAAAATGTGCACTCTGTTAAAACTAACGGCGCACCGTTTCAATTCTTTACTTGAAGAAACGGTGTCGTTTTGACCGCGGTGCACGGTCCACGACATAACGACCGAATTCTAACCTTGTGCCATGGCCTACGGGCCAAGGGACAGTTTCAGGTAGACAATTTCTATGGGGCGTAGGCGTCCCAAAAGGTAACAGAGGCGTGCAAACGTTTCCTCGGGCCGGACGAAGATCGGCCCTCGAGTGCAAAAGCAGGGAGCTTGACTGCAAGACCCACCCATCGAGCAGGGACGAAAGTCGGTCACTTCATTGATAGCCAATCATTAGACATTTCAGGGGATATTGTTTGGATACCTCCTGTGTTTGGGGAGCTCTCCATTGCCTCATCTTATGATCTAATGCGTTCGCGTAGAGGAAAAATTCTTTCTTCTCAAAGTACTTGGTCTTGTAGCACTCTGGTCAAGGTTTCTATTTTCATGAGGAAGTTTCTTCGCCGATATTTGCCTTTGCCGAATTGCTTGAATCGATTTTTTTTTATTTACTTTCGATGTGCCCTTTTTGCTCGAATTGTTCTGCTAGTTTAGAGCATTGTCTCTGGAATTGTAGTAAAGTCTATCATGTCTTACAATCATTGTTGGACGATAAAAATGTAATATCCTCCCTCTTCCTTTTTATTTCTATTATTCTTTCCCTTATATAAACCAAACCAGTGTATCTGCGTGAATCAGCTCTCTCTTCATTGATAATATCATCTTTCTTCTTCATCTTCTCTGCACCTCTCGTTTCTCTCTGCTTTTTTCGTTCTCAATTGATGTAGCCACTATTCCAACATGGTATCAGAGCGGCGAGGCAGCCACGCCGCCGCTGTCACCGTCGCCGGAAGATCGAGTCAAAGCACGGCTTATCCGGTGATGTCGATTGTTAAATCCCTAATTCCGCAGAGGAAGCCAATCAATCCGATTGCTACGCAGAGTAGTCGATCTATTCCGCAGAGGAATCCAGAAGATAAGGGGACCTCCACAGTCGTTCCGCAGTGGAATGAAGGAGCACGTCCGTCGATCAATCCGCAGAGGATTCCGAGTTTGGAGCAGGAGGCGTCCGTAGCCGATCCGCAGCGGAAGGACGGACTTCTCAGTCAGAAACAGATGGAAGAATTTACAGATTCAGCCACAACGGTTGTATTTCTTCATCTGAAATACGTTCAGAGAGCCATGGCTTTGAAGTACGTGGACTCAATTGAGCGAGAGTTTCTAGATCAAACACCGTCATCTACGCTCCGCAGAGTGTCGGAGAAGTGGATCCCGTTGATTGGGGATTGGCTTGTTGAGATCCAAGTTGTTAGTCTAAATTTAGGCCACTTAGCCATCAGACAAGTCTCCGCAGCGAGGCAAAGAGAAGAGGAACTTAGAATCAAGCAACGGGTGCCGAGGAGCAGAGTCGAATCGCATTGATTTCTGATTTTGAGAATAGGAAGTTCCTATTGATTTCTGATTTCCAGGTATCATCATTGACGCCCTTTCTCGAATCGCATCAAACGTTTTTTGCACAAATTGCTGGATTTTTTATTGTTGAGGATCGTGTTTTGAGGATTGGTGGTGGTTTGATATCTAAAGTGGTGGTGGAGAATTTATGGGGCATTGCTCTTAGTAGGATGTGTTCTGTTTTAGAAGATCAATTTTCTAGGATGCAAACTGCTAACCATTTGCTGCTGATAAAGGACTATATATCTGAGGATCTAACTGCTGAGGGTTTGTACAACATGATGAAGGATAATGGTTTAGATGACACATCACTGAGGGATGTTTGCTATGCCTTTATCATTGTGAATTTGTCTGCTGAAAATTTGATTCCAATTACTGTTGATGATGAGTATAAGGCTAGAGATGGTGGTGCCCCCACGCAGGACTGCTTGAACTATTTCTTCTACTTTCAGTTGGCAGCATCGAGAGCTTTGAATGGTATTGGACTTGCCATAGTTGCTCCTACTATTCAGTCCCTTGTAGCTGACTCAACCGATAATAGCAACCGTGAAATGGCGTTTGGATGGCTCCAGCTTACTAGCAACATTGGCTCAGTTGTTGGTGGAATACTTTCCTTGTTAGTAGCTCCCATGACATTCGTGGGAATTCCTGGTTGGAGATTCTCTTTTCATCTTGTAGGAGTAATCAGTGTTATAGTTGGTATTCTAGTTCGCCTGTTTGCAAAGGATCCTCCCTTTCCTGATGGTAGTTTAAAAGAGCGTCGTAAAATTCCTGGAAAATCCTTCTGGTCAGAGGCCGAAGACCTCATCCAAGAAGCAAAATCGGTCATCAAAATACAGTCCTTTCAGATAATTGTAGCTCAGGGCATTACTGGTTCATTTCCCTGTTCAGCTTTGTCCTTTGCCCCAATGTGGTTAGAGCTCTCTGGCTTTTCACATGGGAATACTGCTGTTCTTATAGGCATGTTTGTGATTGCTAGTTCTGCTGGGGGACTTTTTGGAGGAAGCATGGGAGACCTACTATCCCAGCGCCTTCCAAATTATGGAAGAATCTTTTTGGCACAAATAAGCACAGCATCCACTATCCCACTGGCAGCAATTCTTTTGCTGGCTTTGCCTGATGACCCGTCATCTATTTTGCTGCATGCTTTATTGTTATTTGTTACTGGGTTTTTCATATCGTGGAATGCTCTAGCCACAAACAACCTAATTTTTACAGAGATTGTGCCCGAGAAGTCCCGAACAAGCATCTATGCTCTGGATCAATCATTTGAATCCATATTTTCTTCTTTTGCTCCCCCTGCAGTTGGGTTGCTTGCTCAGAAGGTATATGGCTACGAACCTGTTCCCCAGGGTGCTGATGTTATTTCTACCGACAGAGAGAATGCTTCATCTTTAGCCAAGGCACTGTTCACTGTAATAGGAACTCCAATGGCACTATGTTGCTTTATATACTCTTTCCTCTATTGCACCTATCCAAGGGATAGGAACCGGGCTCATATGGAAGCTCGGGTAGAATCAGAGATGCAACTCATAGAGTTAGAGAATTCTGCTTCGAGAAAACAGTATGCACAAGGTCAACCATCTGAAACAGAAGCCTGGATAGTCAAGAAAAGAAAAGAATTACATCAAAAACTCTACTAGTTGCTGATTTAGAATTACATCACTCTTTTGTATCTAAGCTGGGCATGTAGGATCTACACGCTCCAGCTTAGGGGGGGTGTTGGAGGATAAAACTGTAATATCCTCCCTCTTCAACCAAACCAGTGTATCTGCGTGAATCAGCTTTCTCTTCATTGATAATATCATCTTTCTTCTTCATCTTCTCTGCACCTCTCGTTTCTCTCTGCTTCTTTCGTTCTCCATTGATGTAGCCACTATTCCAACAATCATTTCGATCGGTGCTTTAATTTCTTTGGTGTTTCGCTTGCTAAGGTTTAATCAGTGAGGATGACTTGTTGTTTGGTGGTTATCAAGTGTGTCGGGCTCAATTGCTGGATTTATCATCCTTTTGATGCCTAGAAAAATTCTTTAGGCGATTTGGAATGCCTATAGCTCTCTGTTAACAGTACATTCACTCGGGATTTCATGTTTCTATCGCATATATGTTCGGCCACTACGGTGTGCTGGTGTTTCAGATGATTTTTAAAAATAAGTATTATATTATTATGGGAGTGGTTATGGTGGGAAGATACTCTCAGGTGAAAGATGAGGTTAGATCTAAGTTGTTGATCAAATCTATATCAACGGTTCAAATCAATGAAAATTAAAATTAAAAAAAAAACGGCATGGTTTAGGATCTGCTATTGGCCACTCATAAGCAATTCTACTTCCTTTGATCTCTATTCTGATTGTTGAAACATGATTGGATAAAGATAGTGATTGTGTTTTGGGACTGAAAAAAAAAAAAAAAAGAGACGCGTCCTCAATTAAAAAACAAACTGTAAAAAATGGCACACCTTAAGAACGAAAACAACGTAACGCACCTTAAGAACGAAAACCACGCACTTAAAACTTTAGACCGACACACCTTAAGAAGGAAAACCACGCACCTAAAACTTTAGACCGCCGCACCTTAAGAAGGAAAACAACGCACCTTAACGTATTTGGTAAAGAGGAATAGTTACCATACTTTTGCTCATAGGGGCCAACGTATTTATTTATTTACTACTTTTACACGCATATTGCGTGAATGAGTTAATGTCCAGTGTTTATAATTAAATAAATATTTGAAACTATATCAATGCAAGATTATATATGAGAAGTTCATACATAAATAATTTAATGTCAAATTTGTTTATTTAAATATGTAACTCATAATATATGAATACAATGTAATATAGGAGATTCATTATAATTGTTACTAAACTTTTTTTAAATAGTAACCAAGTATTTTTGTTGCAAAGGGTTCTAATATATTTAATTAATGCACATATATACAAGATCAATGAATGAATCAACGGTACCAGTCCTTTAGGTGTTTTGCTCAGTGTTCATTTAGTTCAACCATTATTGTTGAATGAATTATTGTAGATAAAGAAATTTCTAATTTAAGGAATTTTGATGAAGTAGTAGTAAAAATTTAAAAATTTTAATTATAATGTAACCCAAAGATATTTGACGGTTGGTAAATATGATGTAACTCAAAGATCAAAATGCTAAATTAAAGAAAGTGTTTGGTTATTCAATAGTTTGGAACAACAATTTGTTCCAAACTACTGAAAATACAAACACTGCAATTTACAATATTTTCACTTAGCGTTTTGAGAAAAAAATTAAATTTCGAACAATCTGAACCATTAATTTGATTTAATAATTTGACGTATATTTTTTCTACCTATTATAGATCTAACTTCTTTTGACTCTTAATATTATAGTAGATTTGAATTAAAAAGCTAGATGTTGTCCTCGTTTGGAAAGAAGGAAGACCAATTGTTATACCGTGCACCAGGGGCACACATAACAATGTGCACCTTGGCACAAAACGTCGCCGTTTCAATTATTGTTAACGGGGGTTGACGGGTTGGATGCCGCTTCGTCCGTCCAATCCCCGTTATAGTTTTTTTTTAATTACATATATAGCAACACTCTTCTTCCACACGACACTCCATTTCGAACATTCAAAGAGCAAAAATCTCCCGCGAAAGAGAGAAAAGCACGAACGACGAAGCAGAAAACAAGCATAAACATTCATCAACGTCCTCGTTCAGAGCAATACAACAACACAAAAAGGTGAACCTTCAAACATTTTTTTGTTTGAAGATCGAAATATAATGAAATTTGGAAAATAACACATAACTTCAGTATACATGTCATGAAATATATCCACATTTGCATGAAACTCAACATTAATAAGAATTTTCATGCAATTGTGAATAGATTTCATGACATGTATACTGAAGTTATGTGTTATTTTTCAAATTTCATTATATTTTGATCTTCAAACAAAAAAAATTTTGAAGATTCACCTTTTTGTGTTGTTGTATTGCTCTGAACGATGACGTTGATGAGTGTTTATGTTTGTTTTCTACTTCGACGTTCATGCTTTTTGCTCTTTGCGAGAGATTTTTGCTCTATGAATGTTTGAAATGGAGTGTCGTTGGGAAGAAGAAGAGCGTTGCTATATATGTAATTAAAAAAAAAAAAAAACCCTGCACAGAAATGATATTACTAAATTATGTGTATAATGTTTGGAGTTTATGTGTATTCTACTATACAGCTTATGTGTATGGACTCTATATATGTTATGAAATTTGTCCACATTTGCATAAGCAATCAACATTAATAAGCATTTTTCAGTTAATCTAGGGTTACATAACATTACGAACATGATTATGTGTATCGTACTATACAGTTAATGTTTATTCAATACCTCATCAGACATAAAAAGATATTGGCCCTGTTCGGTAAATGGTTGTTAGCTATTAGCTGATTGGGTTAATTAGATGGTATAACTAGTTGATAACATTAGCTGATTGTAGAAAGGTGTTTGCTAACTGATTGTAGAAAGGTGTTTGCTAAATTAGCTGTTAGCTGATAACTGTTTGGTATAATTTCTTATCTCAAAAAGCTAATTGAAAAAGTTTCTTTGAGTAGCTTTTTGAATTTTAGCATTTTGGAGTACAAAAAGCTAATTAACCAAACACTTATATTGATTTTTAAACCAAGTCAAACAACTAATAGTGATCAAATAAGCTAAAATTTGCCTACAAGCTAACTATTTTACCAAACAGGGTCATTTCCTAGACTTAGGATTATGAGTATTATGTTATGAGTTTATGTGTATTATGTTAGGTAATTCTGTACATTATAAATTTCAATCACATGACTCAACAGACAAACTAAATATTACTTAGACTTATATTTATGTGTATTATGTTGATAGTTTATGTGTATCCTATTATAAGATTCTGTAGATTAAGAATTTAAATTTCATACCTTAGCAGACATACACTACAAGAAAAATGCACATAGACAACACTAGAAAGACAACAGTTTTTAAGAAAAGTGTTGTCTTTTGTATAAAAGACAACAGTTTGGTCCAAAACCGTTGTCTTTGATGCAACACTTTTGTCAAAGACAACGGTTTTTCCTTAACCGTTGTTATAAGTGTGTTGTCTTTGTGCATTTTGTGAAAAGACAACACCACAACGACAACGGTTTTTTAAAACCGTTGTCTATGTGCATTTTTTTTAAATAACACAACGGTTTTTTTAACTGTTGTCGTTGGTGTGTTGTCTTTAAGCACACTGGAATACACAACACTAGAAAGACAACGGTTGTTTAAAACCGTTGCCTTTGTGCGCTTTTTTTTTTAAAGACAACGGTTTTATTTGACCGTTGTCGTTGGTGTGTTGTCGTTAAGCGCACTCAAATACACAACACTAAAACGACAACGGTTTTATATAACCGTTGTCGTTGCGCGTTCTTTATTTGTTTAAGACAACGATTTTATTTAACCGTTGTCTTTGGTATGTTGTCTTTAAGCGTATTTGAATACACAACATTGCGCATCATTATTTAACAGGTATATAAAATAAAATCAAAGATGTTAACAACAAGAGTTGAACCTATGACCTTAAACTTAACAAGTAAGTGATTTAACCAACTTAGCAACACAAACTCTTATGTTTAAAGGTGCAACATCTGGTATATAACTGGGTTGTTTCTGTGTTGTTTGTGAAAACAAAGACGACAATTTTAGAAAATAGTTGAAGAATTCCCCCCACAAAGCTAACACTTGTGTACTCAAGCGCAACATCTAGTATATTACCAGTTTGACAATGATTGTATAAAATAAGTTAAGAATGCCACCATGAAGGATAGAACCCAAGATCTCTAACATAACAAACAAAGCTAAATCCACCAAGCCACACCAACTCTTATGTATTAATGTGTTACACATTATCTTTTACCTATAATTTAACAAAGAAAGAATACAATTTAAAAGTTAATTTAATAGTTCTATTTTCGTTTATATTTAAATATAAAATTATTCACAACACCGACTTCAACAACACTTAATAGACAACAGTTAAAAAACCGTTGTTGTTTCTAGAAAAGACAACGGTTAAAAAACCGTTGTCTATGCGCGAGACTTACAACAACACCGGCTTCAACAACAGAAATTATACCCCTACGACAACGGTTATTAACCGTTGTCTATGTGCATTTTTCTTGTAGTGATAACAGATGTTCCTTATACTTAAGATTATGTGTATTCTAAGTAGAGTTTATGTGTATTATACTATACAATTCTGTACATTATGCCTTTACATCTTTGTACATTATCAATTCCAATTCTGTACCTGAATGGTCTAATTATTTGTACCTAATGTTATTGCAGCAATGTCAAGCCCCGCCAGCAGTGATCCTACACTACTAGGGTTTGGATCACTTCTACGCTCTTGTCAATAGTTTAAGCCCAGAACAGCACCAAGCTGCTAAAGACATAGGGGTTTGGATCACTTCTTAGGATAATGCTCTCATCTCTCATCTTGTGATGGCAATATTCTTAGATACCTTTTGGAAAGAATGGATATTTCTAGATGCTCAATCCATCTAGAAGAGGAAGAGCTCTTTTTATGAGAGGAGGATGTGCAGTCAACACTCGGTGTCCCTAGAGGACAGGATCCTGTTATAGT